CGCAAAAACAAATAGAAGATAATCTTAATTCATAGTTAATTTTTTTAAATTAATTAAGAAAAAGAGCTGAAGTAGAAGATCGATAAATTTTTTATTGGATCATCATTTTTCTATGAGGTAACTCGTACTAATTCAAGTATGACTTATATCTTCGATAGTGGTAGACATTTTTAAGTGAAATGTAACCTGTAATTAGTTTACGTTCTCGTTATGTTACTCTTTGCTATGGGCGTTTTCGAGTTCCGCTAATAAATAAAATAGTTTAGTGACTTGTCGAAAAGTATTGGAAAGAGTATCTCAAATACACGAGTTCGAAAAGGATGTAGTGGACTTTCACATCTGCTACCCTTACACTTACACCTTCACGTCTCATTGAAATTATGGTGAATATTCTTGAAAGTGCATACGAAAAGCAATCGCAGAATTGTATTGCGGCATAATAATGAAAACTTTGAAGAGAGTCATTTCGAAACGAAGAGAGATTAAAGATGCTGAAAAAGTGTTCAGAATAGAAACGGAAATGGAATTAACTTGTGGTTTTTGCATTTTCGGTCTTTTTATTTATAAATAATTGTAATCGTCTCTATTCGAGCTGTATGTTTTTTCATAAAAAAACCAAGTTGTCACGAGACACTTTAGACTATTGCAAACATTTTGATTCTTTTATGAGATCATTCCGTATGGAAAGGTCAGTTCATTTAAACCACATGTATATTGCTCCGAGCACCATTTGTAGACAGAAAAATACTTTTGATAAAATGGATTTTCGATAAAAAGCATAAGTAGGTTTTTTTTTCAAAAGCATACAGTCTTCTAACGATTTCTTTATAATTATCATTTCAACTGATTAAAGCTTCCTTTCTATATTAGTTAATATATTATGTATTATCGAGAACGCTATTAACACACTTTTAGAAAATATTCAACTCTTCACATCAAATAGTTACTATTCGTATTTACAGCTCATGCTTTGCAGAGCACCACAATGTTTTCCTAGTTTCTCGAAGGATATCAAATCATATGAATATAACTCAAAAATTTTTCCGCTTTCGAAAACGTTCAGCATAATATTTCTGATGTGTCTGAGCCATGTAAAACAGCAAACTCAATAACCGTAAACTTCTTTCCATGTCCCACTAAATGTCATTGTTCAGTTCAATAAGCAATCATATAGCATTCACTTTTTTTAAACATAAAATGATAATTTGAGCTAACAATGATCGAATGCTTTTTTCGATTCCCACATATTTCACAAACCAATGTCAACAACTTGATTTCTGCATTATTATGATGGATAAAATCAACTATTTTAAGTAATACTTGCGCAGTAAGAAAAGAAAACAAAGCGACAATGATTTATGATGGGAAAAAGATCCATAGCAGAAATAGACTTATATAATTTCCAAGGAGGACCTGTTGCACATGGCATCCTCTTATAGTTGAGAACAAAGAAACTTGCTTTATTTTCCTCACTCGACATCGTTCATTGATTATGCAAAAAATCAAAATCGTTGACATGTGAAGACATTTTCTTGATTCGATCATAAACGAGCCTAACTGACTCATTTTACTACTATCAACAACAATCTAGCCTTATCTCAAAAATTAGAGCGCATCCATGAGATAGGTACCACTTTCGGAGAAAATTTTTTGTATGAAGTTATGGGATATCTCTGTATTTTCCTAGGTACTTAGTCATAAAATCAGAAAAAAACTGCAAAAAGTTTTGACATTATCCTTTTTGTTGAGTATTTAGCGTTGATCGCTTTCGTGGAACAAAATCTTTTCCTAATTCATTAAAGGATGTGGGTATGGATATATCTTTTTTCAATCTTACCTCTTTATACCCACACCCTATCTGAAGAAATTAGCCAAACTTTTGCATACACACCCTGAAATCTTATCTCTTGCTGCTGTTTTACTAAAAGATTGCGAAAGAATGATCGTTCTAAAATGAGAATGCAACGTGCAGTTACTAAGAAATATATGTATTACTTCCAATGCATTGATTTTTACTCGTAACTGTCCTATAACAAAGATAGTACTACTGGTTCACATACTGATCTAATATCACCTTTGGTACATGTTTGGTAATTACTCATTGGTTTTGTAAAACACAATTGTAAAGTTATATTGAAGTATATAGCGAGAAACGTTATCAACTGTCGCTCGAGGTCACTTTCCTATGATTTGCTTCACATACTTGTAATAAACAGAATGAGGAAAGGTCTGTAGTAACACATTTCCTAACAAAAGTTTAAAATTGTTTGTTAATTGAGCCTTCATAAACAATATTTCATGTGACTAGGACTCTTGTTTACAAGTGACATAGTAAACCTAAGATCAGTGGACAAGATTAGAAAATGCAAGATAGTTAATAGAAGAGCTTGAATATCTGTTATCAAGATCTTGGTACAAGATAACTGTATTATCTTGTACCTAAATTTTCAAGATCTGTTCACAATTCTGTACCTTGTATCTTGGTCAAGATCTTGCTTACGAGATGTTTGACTAGGGATTGGTCCAAACTCCAACAATAGTATATTGTGACCAGTAAGATCGGTACTTGAAATTACTGCGAGTATAATGCCACCTACCACAAAAATAATAGATCATATTGCTGTTATTCTGTTTAACTCCGACGCTAACTGAACAAATACAATGACTAAGATCATTGTACTCAAGAGAACATTGCAAAGAATCAATCGTGTAGTTGGAAGCTTTCAAACCGACCAAGAAACGTCTCCCATTCAACTTGGGCTTCAATCAAAATTATATCATCTATAGCGATTTTGAGATCGTATGCGTCGAAATCTTCTGTATCTTGATTAAAATCACCAGTAATCAGCATGACTTGTTGAAATCGAATGATTGAAAGAAACCACATGATTTGAATTTCAGTGAAATTTTAATAATGATCGAATTCTGTTCTTTGGAAGAAATGATCCTCGTTCCTCAGGTTTCGTTTCGTTTCGTTTGATTTTGTTTCTTTCTTGTAAAGCACAAAAACATATTTTATTAGATTTGAATGACAACATGGCGGTGTTTATCGTTTCAAGAGCATTGTAATTTCACTCAAAATGGGATACATCAGAATACTTAATACCTGAATATATGGTAATTTGTTTTACTTATTCTTGATTCAAAGGTTCGCTTTAGAGTCAATACACCATTCGACTTACGTTGGATTGTTCTGTATGATTGACACAATGCTTGATTACTATACCATATACAACTTACTGGTCCATCGAAATGAAGGCTCCATGTACAACGAAATTTATTTATTTATGAAACACGTTGTATTTTTTTCGACTTCAATGGATTGGCCTTATTTTTCCTGATGAATGTATTGTAACTTCAATTTCAACTCTCACGAACTCTAATTACGTCAGTAGAATCAAACTTGACAGTTGAATTCAATTGAACAAGTATACTTCAACGTTCAAATTTCAAGTTTGATTATACTGTTGAAATTACATTAATAAAAATATCTGTCACATCATTTAATGTTGTCATTTCTTTTCTATGAAGAATGTCAAAATATCATTTGAATGTAACTAGATATTTGTTTTTCAAGTGTCTAGGGTGAAGAATTTCTAATGTTTACTAATATATCATAAAGAAAATAAAAATTAATTAAACGAAAAAGAGAATTTTGTTTAAATAACAGAATAAGATTTGAAATGTGTTTTAAATAATATAAATCATATTGAACATATTGAACATAGAACACCGTATTGATCACTGCAAAAATTTTCACCCTTATTAATTATACGATGACATTTAACACAAACGAAACAATCAATGTGAAAATTTTTTCCTTGAAATGTTGTATATTTATCATTTATTGGTCTTAAACACTTTGAACATTGTGGTTTAAAATATTCATTATAACATTGAATACAACAAGGCTTGCAATTTTCTACATGAAATTTTGAATCAGTCATTATTTTATGACATTGACCACAACGAAAACAATCTGGATGATATGTTTTTTTATCAAAGATAATTGATCTTCCAACAGATATTACTTTTAAACATTGTCCACAACGTGGTGCAAAATATTCGTTGTAACATTGAGTACAACAAGGCTTTGAATTTTCTATGTTAAATTTTGAATCAGTTATTATTTTATTACATTGACCACAACGAAAACAATCTGGATGATAATTTCTTTCATTGTAAATTATCGATTTTCCAATAGATATTGCTTTGAAGCATTGTGTACATTGAGGTGCAAAATATTGATTATAACATTGAATACAATAAGGTTTCGAATTGTGTGTTGGAAATTCCATATCAATTATAATTTTATTACAGTGACCACATCGAAAACAATCTGGATGATAATTTTTTTCATCGTAACTAATCAATTTTCCATTTGAAATTGCTTTGAGGCATTGTATACATTTCGGTGCAAAATGTTCATTGTAACATTCAAGACAACAAACTTTGGAATCATGCTTTGCAAATTCACTATCCATTATTACTTTTTGACATTGTTGACATCGAAAGCAATTTGAATGATATTTTTTTCCATTGTAAACAGTAGATTTTCCATTAGATATCACTTCGAAACATTGTTCACATCGTGGTGCAAAGTGTTCATTATAACATTGAGTGCAACAGGGTCTTAAATTATGTTTTCGTAAATCGTTTTCACCAATCAATGATTTATTACATTGATCACAAGAAAAACAGTTTTTATGATAATAGTTACTATCAAAGATGATTGATTCTTCACTAAGAATAGGCTTTCGACAAGCATAACATATTCTAGCTTCTGTTAGTTCACATTTTTCACATACAGGCTCTCCATTATCATGAACTTTAAATCTGCTATTGCTAGAACTATTAAGATTTCCATGGCAAAGAGCACATGTAAAACAGTCAACATGATAAAATCGATTGTTGAATTTGATTTCATTTCCATTCTTCGGGTCAATTAAACATTTGCATTTATGACAACGAGAATAAGACTCTTTAACAATTGACTAAAAATAGAATGTTATACAGTCGACGCTTTCATTTAGTGTCTGACATGTATACGTTCAAATTTTCACTGTTTTTAGACCATTTTGACCTAATATTATTCACAATAACAAATTTTTATGATTAATTAACTAGTACATATAATTTCTAGGTATCAAAAGATTTATCAGAAGTTTTGACATTATTTTAATATTTTTCGTTCGTACATTCAGCAAAAGCAAATTCTTTGCCAATTTGCCAGATTGTTGTAGATATTGAATAATTAGTAAATAAATGTGAAGTTTCAGATTTATAATTTTTACAAGTAGCAAGATTATCATCAATATTTTTTACCAATTTTTCAAAAACTTCAATTGATAAACTTCCTAAACAGTCACTGAATTTTATCGATAGATATGGTTGAAGTTTATTAGACCATTACGTAGTGATTATCTTAAGTGAATATATCCGACTATCATTAAATATAAGAAATTCTTTCGAACTATCCTAGAAGATATAGTAGCTAAAGAATTTGATGATTACAAAATTTATGTTTTCGTAATAGTCAAGTTCATAAATAAAGGAGTTAAATGTCTTTCGATGTTGCTAAACATGTTTTTATTTATTCAATTAAACAAAAATCATTCTGATGCAACACTAGCTGATGTTTGGCTCACAACAAAGATTTACGGTGTATTGAAAGAAAAATGATGAGAACTTGTCAATTTAAAAAAAAATTATGTAAGAAGATCAAGAAAATCGATTAAATAGTGCATGATAGTGTCCTCAAAGTTTCTCACTCATTGTAAAAACTATAGACCTGAAACTTCGCATTTATTTACTATTAAATATCTACATTATTGAAGCAGATTGGCAAAGAGTTTGCTTGTGCTGAATGCCAGAACGAAAAATTTTAAAATAATTTCAGCACTTCTCATAAAAACTTTATACATCGAAGCTATATGTGCTTGCTTATTAGTGATAAATATCTGTTTTTGAGGACTATAATTAGGTCAACGTAGTTTAGAAACGATGAAAATCTAATGGGACTTTAAGATAGTCAACGTATGCCTAGTAAGCACTATGACATAAGTACACTTTCAAAACTTACACAAATGTTTTAAGCTTAACGCTTTTTGTTTCTAATTTCACGTTTTCCTCTCGTACAAAATTCTATATATTCGATCATATCCAAACGTGTTTTATAATGGCAGCTAGGGGTGACACTTTATCTTTATTTCACTTTGAAAAAGTAATGTAATGTGAATTTAACTAGTTATAATTTAACATTAATTTTGTAGTCTAAGATCATACATTGATAATGATGCAGTACCATTATTAGTGTATGATATTTGACCAGAAAATCAGCAATTTATTTTAAGTTTTGTAATCAATTTACCCTACTTTACTTCACTTTTTCGGTAAAGTTAATAAATATGGTTAACTTGCTAGAGTAAAGATAAAGTGGCATCTCTAATATTGTTAGATCTCTCTTCGATGAGAATTACAATAAATAGTCATTTTCTATAAAAAAAAATTGATCTCCACTTTGTATATTAAAAATGTTCTCAGAATGGTAACTTAATATTACAATGAAATTTTCGAAAAAAAAATGAATGTTGTTGCATGACAATGCAAGGTTTTATATTAACCGATTAAAACTACGATGATACAAGAAGAACTTTTCAATTTCAATTGACTAAGATCAATAGATAGAAAATAATCTAGATTTAAATCTATTCAACTATTCCATTTCAAACGAATGGCCCATGGCAACAATTAGAAAATTGTAACAACGAAAGACAAAAGAAGGATAAACATCTCGTCTTTTTGCTATTTTTCCATACTGTGCTTTACTATCTGCGAACAGTTGTGTAAGCCTCAAATCTTTCCTACAACTATTCCTAATTATAGTTATGTATAGAAGGCCAATGTAACTCAAAATTTGCTCAGCCAATAGCTTGATCTACTGATGCCCATGTACACTAGCTCATCTATGTTATGGTATGATCAATGTACTATCACACAGGTAATTCGAGGCGAACAGGCGTTCATGATTTGCTCTAAGTCATTCTATGAGTGATAATACCCTGGTTCGAAAACAGTGCAATGACCTTATGTACCGGACAACATCGAAGAAGAATCTTATTCAAAAATTGGAATGTACACTAGAAATAATTCAAGAAAACTCTATTTTACAAAGCTCTTTTCCTTCGACTTCTTTTTTTGAAATGTATGTTGGAAAGCATTCTATATTAAGAAAAGAAAATATAATTTTGTAAAGAATGACAGATAAATATTTGAAAACGAAAAAAGAAGCTAAATTCCGACAAATCGATATGATATGAGATATAATCAAAATGTTAAGAGGCTCCATTGTTCTCGAATACACAAGAAATGAACGAACGTTTTTTTTTTGAAAAAACAGAAATGAGATAAAGCAATATTTCTATTCGTCGAACTCATTTTAGATTACACTCTATTATGAAAATGAGTCGGTTGACAGAGTCTTGGTAACTTTGGGGAGAAACCAGGTTTTTAAATACTATTTGTCTTTCTCTGGCAGAGAATAAAACAAATATAAATAAATAATCTCGTTGCCAGGTGAATAAGTTAGTAGGATTCTTCTCCTTCTTTCTATCATTTAAAAGTGAAGATGAACTATGTTATCTTTCGATTAGAGAATGCAAAACATTCATTGAAGGTTGACACTAAGTTAAATGATTTACGAATTTAGATATTTGTCTCAGTTCTGACTATTCTCGTTAAGTTAGACAAGCCTTTTCTAAAATTTTTCAGTCAGTACTTAGGAAATATATGGAACATTTTGATAATGTTTTTTCTTCTAGAAATATTCTTTGATGAAATAACGTACTGTCGTTGGTGTTAGATTGATAAAAAGTTCTGTTTTATGAATATTGTTTGTATCTGTATCGGTTTTTATCATGGTATTTGATAGTGATGTATTATTGTTTAGTTGATAATTGTCAAATGTTGATTTGTCTTGTTGAGATGAAGAAGATACCTGAAGAGAAGGGACTAATGATTGTCCTAATATTGTTTTATTGAAGTTATCTTCCTATGAAAATAAACAATCAATCAAGATAATTCATTGTGTTACATTACTTTCAATTGTTTGAATTCAGTCATATTCAATATTTTTAATTTTGATCTTCAAAAACGACTTTTCCTTGATTTTTATATTGATAATAACTAAAAAAGCAGAAATTTTTTTAAAATAAATCAGTTAAATCAGAGTTTGATAAGAGTAAATGGATAAACGGAAATCTGTTAAATAAATGTGATGAGAATGATCGACAATCTAGATTGAAATTTTAAAAATATAATTTTTAACTTGAATCAAATATGAAAAATTCAATTCTAAATCAAGAATTCTTTTTTTCAATGATTCATTCAGTTGAACTAAATTATTTTTGTTCAAAAGAATTTGTTTTTTGTTCCAAAACATATAATCATTCATGTTAATTGTTTTTAAATAAACATTTTTTAGTTGATTTATCTTACTTGTTTTGTTTATTAAAATAATTCAATCAAATATGCAAAGATAATATCGTGAAAAAACAACAACTGAATGATTAATGCTTTTCTTGTTAGTAAACATAGTTAATTTAAATAAATTACGTCGTTTCGTTTAATCTTGTCGAATCCTAGAATAATATATTCTTTTCTTCTTGTATTTAAACTGATTAAAAAGAATAAAGTATAAAAACAATTGAATTTTTCGTTTTCGAACGAGAATCAAAAATGCAAATAAACTACGAAATATGTCAACAAAAAAAAAGAATAATTCGTTATAAAAATACTTTTTCTTTCTTTTCTTCAAAATGAATCATTCGAAATATATTTGTACATTCAACAATCACAATAATAATAATAATATAACCTTCGTTTTTTTTCCTGACATTAAATCGACAGAAAAATATTTTTTTTTCGAATAGTTTCCAAATCTTCTTAGAAACTTTCTAAGAAGTAGTAAGTTGAAAATTGAATTCATGATAATCAATAAATATGATTATTTAAATATGTTTAGAACGAATTTTTCTCTGATAATAATAGTTATCAATAATGATTACTCTTTAAAATAATTTATTCTTTACGATTTCTATTGAATGTTTATATTTATTATTGATCATTTAAAATAAATAATATTTTATCTTAGAATTAATTTGATATTTCAATAAAAAAAAAACAAATAATTCGATTATTACTAATAACAATATAAAGTTGATTTAGAAGATTTTTTTGTCGTTTTTTCAGTTAATTATTAAGAAGATTCGGAACTAAGAAGAAAAAATAGTGAAAATATTATTTAAGTCTAATCTTTGGTTATTTGTTTGATTTAATAAAATAATAAATTAGTTTTATTTCAATTATCTTAAACTCAAGTGATAACTTGAATAAATTCATTCTATATACACTGTTCAGTTTGTTTAAAACAAATAAAAACGTTATCTAATCGACATTTTTAATTTGTTTTTTTTTTATCATAGAACAATAAGAAGATCTTTAAAAACATCAAGATAAAAATCTTCAATTTTATTATTGATGAAAACAATATTGGAAAGTTTTTATATTATAAAATAAAATAAAAGACACGAACAATGAACAAAACAATTATTAGTAATTATTTTTTTATGATATTTTTCTGTAAATAGTTTTTATTTCATTTTCAAAAAACTTTTATTTTACGTATCTTTTATTTACCAAAAGAAAAAAAATTACCATATTAATTATATAAATTTATCTATAAAAAAAAAGAAAAGATTATTCTAATACTAATAAAACCTATTGAACAAAAATTTAACTAATTTTCAATCTTTATTCATTAAGACTAATCATATAATTAATCTATCTTCTTTATCAATAGTATTTTAATGCCACTCAATTGAATTCGAATTTAGTTTTCGATAATAAATCATTTTTCTTTAATTTTACTTTTTAAACTTTATGTTAAATAGACATCAAACATAATTCACTAAACATATATACATTCATTAAATCAAAAATACTAATATTAGTTTGATTTAATATTATATCAAATTAAAGATCGATTGACATCTACATCATAGAACCGATGTCAGACAATAGCTAGAACGAAAGAGTTTTAAACACCACTTTCTTCACGATTGTGCATTTAAAATAAGAATACTTTTTGAATGATTTGTATTCTTGTATTTTGAATATCTATGTCGAACCTCGTTTAACTAAGTTTAAGGAAGCCGACACAAAGCTGACGACAAATCGATATGCTCTCCAACGAATATTTAAAACATGGCTGATAACACTAATTCCACAACAAGTCTTAACGAATATCAGTCTATATGGATAATAAATGCTGGTGACGCAGCTAACCTTAATGAATATAAATATATAAAGGAAAGATTTAAAGATAGACAATAGATGCATACTCAAATAGAACGCTTGAACAAGCAAACAATCCGAAGATAAATGAACAACGATGTTTAAACTCAATCGAAAATCTTAGAATCTGACAAAACTTGTTATTTATTTTAACATGAAAAATGTTCATATAAATGACAATTGACTAAAGACATTATTTAGATCAAACGATGAAACAAGACGAAACTTTATTTAATACACCAAAATTTCTCTATAATTATATATGATATTGTAAATGTTCATATATAGATCATTCATATCATTAATCGATCTCTAAAAATTTTATCAATATAATCTTGTTAGCTAATTAGAAACCAAGTCGATGAACAAACATTAATTTAATAGAAAATATTTGTCATTAATGGCAAATAAAACTAAACTGGTTTTAAGAAACGCGTCAAAGCATTTTAGCTGAATTTTAATAGACTTATCATTGAATATCAACATAAACTGTGTTAATGTCATATGTTCATCACTTTTATTAATTAAAACACGTAGGTCTGTACGTCTAGCTACTCTTTTACATTATGTAAGATGAATATAGTCAAACATTTTTTTTGGTAAATTTGTTCTTAATTGCCTTAATTATATAATTCTAGATAAGTGGACAAGCATTTATTACATATATATATATCAAAACTTTTTTATAAAAATTAAAAGTAGAAGATCTTTGTCAATATTCTCTATGAGTAATTATGAAATAAATTTTTGATGAATAGTTACTTTTTCAACGAAATTTCATACTGAATCGATATTTTCAGAAGTATTACAAAAATTGATCGCAGAAAAATTAGTTCCTAGTAGTAAAATATTTCAAAATTTTTTTGAAGTCCAATAAAATAATCATTAAAATGTAAAGCTTTTGATTGAGACGTCTATCTTGTACAAGTACAAAAGATAAGAGACACAAACAATAAATAATATTGTGAATTATTAGAATAAAAAAACAATGTGCAGGTCTCTGATCTATTCGAATTAATATAGATTCTAGAGAAGTTAATAACAACGTCGAACTTCTTAATAAGTCTTTTTATTTTAGTCTTGATTTTATTTAATATAAAAATGATTTTATTTGTTTTAAAGATTCTTTTTTATTTAAAATGAATAAAAATATTTGTTTTTATGCAAAAATAGAAAGTCAATTAAAGTGAAATGTATTTAATTTGTTGGTAAAATGGAAGTTTGTTTGAATTTTTGTATACGATAATTTAATGAATCTGCAACATAAAGGTTTCCATATTGATCAAGAGTAATTGCCGTTGGATGATTAAATATATAAGAATTATTTCCAACAGCTGATATAACACCAGCTATTGTTCTACCTTTTACTAATTCTGTAGCAGAATATGTAAAAAATTGAATACGTTGATTAATACAATCAGCAACATATATGTGTGCATATTTATCAACATAAACATAACATAATTTATTGAATAATGTTCTTGATATTCCAGTAAGGTCTGAACTAGCTGATCCAGCAATTAATGTCCAATATTCTGAATTTATATTCCATCGGATAACATTATAACCTTGTTCTTGAGCAATAACGATGGTCTTTGTCACTGAATCAAATTTAATTGATATTGGAGTTTCAACATATTGATGTCTTTCTAAATTATTGGTTTTTTCAAGATATTTATTTGCTTGATTGTTACTTATATTAAATGATATAATACGATTATTACCATAATCAGCTATATAAATACAAGAATTATCATCCATTGTAACAGACATTGGACTATCTAATTGATTTGTTCCTGTACCTTTTCCATCTATAGAATTCAAATCGAATAAAAAATTTATTATTAAATAAATGTGAATATACCTATTCCAAATATAGTTGTAACTTGTTTAGATTCCTTATTCCAAACTTGAATTCTATGATTATTTGTATCAGCTATATATATATTATTCGATTTATCAATATAAATATCATTTGGAAAATTTAAAGAAGTTGAATCAGTACCATTTGTACCATTTGGATGACCAACAATAATTGTTATATCATCTGTTAAGCTTACTATTCTATGCTTTGTTTTATCAACAATATAAAGATTATAATCGCCATCAAATGACAATCCTGATATATTTCCTAATGTTAGATTTTCTTTATCAATAAACATCTGTTGATCAATAAATGTTGTTGCTTTTATCTCCCAAGCTAAATTAGTACCATTATCTAAATAATTATAAATATATATTGTATGTTTTATTTATAGAATATTATATACTGTAAGATGTTTGTTTTTCAAACGTATAAATAATCGGAACAACAATTATTGTCATTATACATATTATTAATGCAAATAATAATGGAATCCAATTTGAACGAATTGTCAGATAGATTTTTGTTATTCTAAACATTTTTATTTAATCAATATTAACGATAAACTTATTTATTTTAACTTACAAAGATTTTGATTGATCATCATTTTCTATAAGATCTTTTTCAGAGGACTTTTTATCCATTTTATCTAAACACAAATCGGTTTTTATTTTATTTATTTATTTATTTATTTATTCTGATGAAAACAAAAATATCTTGTATGCTATATAATGAATAATAGTAGCGTCAATAAAATCATTTAGGTTAAAAACGAAAAAAAAAAATTATGAAAACGATTTTGATTGACTAGAAAAAAACGACGAAATACATTCAAAATGACGATTATGGTAGCTACTCATGCGTTTATTTATCGAACCGTCCAAAAGGCAATCGAAAAAAAAAAGCAAAAAGCATGCCTTCTCATTTATTTTCGCGATCAATAGACCGTTGACATCCATGAAAGGAAATTTTCCCACATAAATAATATTTCTAGAGGAGAATATGTCAACTGTCTATTGAGCTACCTTCTTTTAAACAAAAACATGTTTTTTTTCATCTTATATCTCGTAGTTTTTCTAATTAACCATGTGACTTTAACTAAACAATATGTTTATTTATGATCGATTTTGACTTTTTGCTTTTTTTTTTATACTCGAATATCCTTTATCTAAAACATTTTTTTTTTTTCGTTTAAATTATCTCAAGATTTTATCGTCTTTGAAAAGAATCAAAAGAAATTAATTATCTTTCATTTTCATTTAAAGAAAATTTAGAAGAAAAATCAAACTGAAATGGAAAAGTTTGATAGAAAAGAAGATGAAACATGTTATGCATATGTTGATGCTGAAATGGCTCAATTTGAAGAAGTTGCTGGAACATGTTCAAATAAAGATAATGTTGATGAACAATGTTGTACAGTAAGAAGTGTAACTATTGGTTTAATTTTTGTTATTGGAATGTCTTATCTTCATCAATGGGGAAATTTTCAAAAAATGGCTCCTTTTATATCATCTGTTTTAGTTATTGTCGTTGCTTATCCATTAGGATATCTGTGGCAATTAATTATACCACAATCAAAAACATTTACATTAAAAGAACATGGATTTATTTTAGTTATGGCTAATGTTGCTTATATGTATAATTCAGTATTTATTTATGCAACACTAACAACATTAAAAGTACTTGAAAATGATAAACTTAATTTTGCATATTACTTTTTTTTTGTTCTTTCAATTCAATTTCTTGGATTTGGTCTTGCAGGTAAATCGAAAGAATTCTATTAGAATTAATTAAATCTAAAATTTAATTTGATTTGAAAAGGTATTCTTCGTCGATTTTTGGTTTGGCCTTGTGAAGTTATTTGGCCTCAAAATTTACCATTAATAGCTGTATTACGTACATTTCATGAACGTCAATCAAGTGTTACAGAAGCATCATATGGAAATCAAAATCAAAGTTTAAAAAAACGTTTAATGAATAATCGTTTATTATTTTTTATAGTAATATCATTAATAGCATTTGTATATGAATGGTTTCCATTATATATAATGCCAATCTTAGCATATTTTTCTTGGATGTGTTGGATTAATCCTAGTAATAATGCTTTAGCACAATTGACAGCAGTACGTGGTATTGCTATTGCTGGTGGAGGTTTAACATTGGATTGGTATCAAGTAACACGATATTTAGGATCACCATTAATATTACCTGGTTGGGCATTAATGAATATAGCATTTGGTTTTGTATTAATTATATGGTTTATTGTTCCTATTGTATATGGATCAAATGTACGATCATTTACAATATATCCAATAGGTGGACAAGTATCAACTGAATTTACAGCATTAAGTTTAGTTACTGCATTTACATCATTTGCAAGTATAACAGCTGTTTTTGTTCATGCATTATTATTTCATGGTATTGATATATGGCAACAATTTCGTACAAAAACTCTGGCAAATATGGGCAATGATATGCATGCTAGAATGATATCACTTTATAAAACAGTACCTGATTGGTGCTATTTAGAATTATTTGCATTAGCACTAATTGTTGCATGTGTTACATGTGATCATGCTGCTTGGTTAGATTGGTATTACGTTTTATTAGCATTATTTATTGGAGCTATATTTACATTACCATTTGGATTAGTATCATCAATAACAGGACAACTATTACATAATTTATCTGTTTATTATTTATGTTTATTAATTGGACAATCATTATCATTACAAAAATCAGCTAAACAAATTTATACCTTTATAGCCCTTGGTTATATTGTGTTCGTTCAAACATTGGTGTTGATTCAAGATATGAAATTAGCTCATTATATTAAAATTGGTCCACGTCCATTATTTGCTGCTCAATGTCTTGCGGGTTTAGTATGTTCAACATTTTCAATTGGAATTCGTTATATGTATCTTAATAAAAATTATAAAGCTGAGAATTGGTCAATATTTAATAATACCAAACTTGGTTGGACACTTTTAAATGATTATAATGGATTTTTTAATGGAACTAATTTATCAAACAGAGATTTATTATGGGCTTTTCTTATTGGAGCATTTATACCAATACCTGGATATGTATTATCAAGATATAAACGTTTTCAATGGTTAAAGAAATTACATTGGCCATTAATATTTGTAACTATTGGTTGGATGCCATCTATTGTCCCAGCAGGTGCTCTATTTACTTGGCTTTTAATTGGTTTAATTGTTTATTTTTCATTTGGAAAATATAGTTGGAGACAACGTCATGTTTACTTAGTTTCAGCTGGACTTGATCTTGGTCTTAATATAACATTGATTATTGTTAGTACAGCATTAGTTAACAAAAATGTTCTTTTTCCAGAATGGTGGGGAAATCAAAATTCAACTTTGGGTGATAGTTGCAAGAAAGCTGTTCAAACTTGGTAATCTTAACTATATTTTTCTTTTTTTTACTTATTTAACCAATATTCGACTTTTTTTTTCTAAATGTTTATTTATTTATTTATTTATTGAATAAAAATATATAATGAAAGAAAAGCGAAACAAAAGTTAATTAATAGCTCCAACAAGAAGAACAAAATAGTTTTCTGGATAACCACGATTTTCAATATAAAATGAAATATTATAGTACCTTCCACCAATAACATCGATTGGTTGTGTTAAATAAGTCATTCCAACTTTAGTTTGATCATTATAATAAAAATCTCCCGAATAAGGTATATCAAATAAGATATCACTGAATGAACTTCGTGTATTTGATAATATACATTGATCATATTGTTTTCTTAAATAATTATTTTCAAAATCTCCGTCTTCAATTTTATCAACATTTATTGTTGTATCAACAAATGAGATTTTATCTAATGACCAAGAGCTAACATCATGACGAAAACCAAATATTAACAAAACTTTTTTTAAAATAACACTTGGACGATATAGAAAACTATGAAATTTATATGGAAACGGTTCTTGATTTTCTAAATGATATACGTTTGTAATTTTCATTGGTTGTGTACATTCATTATCTGTATAGGCTAATATATATATAAACAATGATATTTCTTTCGTTTTTTTTAAAATTATTTATTGCAATACCTGTTGAAATATTTGTTGCATTTTGATCGATAGTAGTGTCTATATATAATTAAAATATATTTATGTTGATTTTAAATAAATAAATTTCAAAAAAAAAACCTGGCTGTCTCCCAGTTGAATAAACAATCGGAATAGCAATGACAACTCCAATTAGAATCAATACAAGTATAACATAAACAATGTATTTTTCCCATTTCTTTGAATCTTTTCCACTTTTTCTAAATAAAAATTATAGAAATTGTTAAAAGAAAAAAAAAATTTTAATAAATTTATCAATACTCAGCCATGGAAGTCTTCTTATTGTTTAATATAGAAGTAAAATAAAGATAAATCTATCGAATATTTGTTATATAAATTATTTTCTACAATAATTCTTTATAGTAGACAAATGTTTATATAAAGCAAGCTTGTTTTTCTTTTGCTAGCTAATGATCAAATATTTGTTTTTTTCCTTTCTGTCATTACCTAATCGTCAATATATGTGAAATCAACCAGAACCAAAATGAGTCTCACTTTTTTTTTTCGTTTGGTCACATCAGTTAGATTGACAATACGTTTTTTTTTTCTACTTTATTTACGCATTATTTATTGGCCAATGAATAATATTAGAAAAATATTCGAATAGAATAATTATATTTATTACAAAACAAAATATTCAAAAAATAAAAATAAACTAAACATCAACTGATTGAAGATATTCGTCAAGAAAATTTAAATTTAAAATTTTTTATTAAATCGAATCAATCCTTCTGCCATGTCACATGAGAATAAATAGGATGAAGAGAAATACTAGAATTAATCAATGTTTAATTATCATCAATCATTCTTTCACAAAGTTTATCAGGAAAACTTATTATGAAATTCAAATTATTTATTCATTGTTGCTACAATGTATTATCTGATGCAAAAATATTTATTTTGATTTATATAGAATTTCTTTTTGTCAAAAAGTCATCAAAGAAATGACGCAATAGAAAATAAAATCACAGTCAAAATAAGTTCGCAATTTTCCTATTATCTCAAATATTGGTAGAATATATCAATTTCAATATCATTTTAGTAAATAGATGTTCGCAGGAGAATATTTTTGGTCCTACGATAGAAAATTTTCTCTTGTTTGAAAGTTTATATAAATTAATTCAATTTAAAATCCTAAATAAAATGAAACGAAAACAAAAAAGAGAAAGAATGTTTGAACAAATTTCAAATATTTATATTGATCATTAATATAATTCGTATAAAATGTGTAATATATGACAGATTAAAAAGTTGTTCATTTACATTGATTCATATCAAAGCGATTGTTAACAGTTTTCAATAGTTCTCTAGTTTTTCATAAGAAAATTTAATTAAAAAAGACTCATTGTTGAAAAATTTTCTTTGGAGACATTTCAAAATGTTTTGTTCAGTATATAATATATTATTTTTATTGAAAAATATTCTTTTATAAAATAATTAACTTTTGTTTTATCTCCTTTATTTATAAAATAAATTTCCAAATTGTAAAACTGTTGCGTGAATATTTATCTTTATTCTCGTATCAATTTTAATTATCAATCGACATTTTGTATACAGTTCGATCCAGTGATGCCAAAAGTCAAAATCTCATTTAAATAGTTAATTTCGAAATTTTCATACAAAAAATCTTCATGTTTGTAGCTATTTCAGAAACATCAAAAATCATTGCATTAATTTCGTTATGTTGACGTCATTCTCATTTTATGAGACCAATTATTTCACAGAAAATAAAAGTCACTGCATTCATATCATTAGTTTGACATTATTTTTATTATGCGATATTGTATTTTTTTTTAGAAAAACAAAATCATTACATTAGTTTCATTTTTTTCTACACCACTTTCATCACATAATTCTCATACTTTTGAACAATTAGAGTTTTCATATTGCTTTTGATTATTTTACAAAATATAAATCAGTATATTAGTTTCATTACTTTTATATATGAAAATACTGAATTTCAATTGTATTTCAAATGAATAACAAGTTTCAAAATTTCTTCAAAGAGGAAGGATTTTAGTCAATGACTCTCGCGTAAAAAAGACATTACAGTGTGTTATGACCTTTGGTGAAAATAAATGATGAAAATGATTAATCTCAATCTTATCTACAAATTTGCTCTTAAATGTCTAATAAGGTGTTCATAGGAGTATTTTTCCTTGTTTGTCTGATCAAGTAGGATGACTAAATTTCAGTCGAACAAAATAAAATCCTCGATTTAAAATATTCTAGTGAATATAAATAGATTTCAATTGTTGCCAACATAATTTACTCTGAGATTGTAGGAAAGCGATAGAAGATGAAACCTATTTACTATGAATCATCGTTTGTTTTGAAATTTTTACATATAAAAATCACAACTATGAATAAAAAAAGATTGATAAAAACATAAATCAATAAATATGACCTACATAGAAGCACTTGTTTTTATTGACTGTACAGTAAAAAATAGACCTAGATTTGATAGATATTTCTTTGAGATTCATCATGAAAACGAGATACAATTCTAATCAATATGACAGAAGATATAACTCTCTCTCTTTCTACCTTTCCGTCATCAATAGAAAAATCATATTTATATTTTGAATGATACTAAATAAAAATAAAAGGTATTGTCAAACTCAATAAAACTATTATTTAAAAACAATAATTGAAATTAAGTGATTACGGTATATTTTAACTATAAAGGTGTGTTGGACACTGCAAGCTGTGGAAAAACGTGATCATTTCTTTTTAACATTATTTATGTCAATCATATTAGATTAATAATAAAATCATTTGTTTTCTGAAAGGACATCTTGTTGTTGTTGATTATCAAGATTTTTAATGAATTGAATAAGTCGAGAGAAATAATATTGTTGATCATCCCACATTGAACAATGACTTCCATTAGAACAAATAAAATACGAAGCATTTTCCATTTGATTAGCCATTGATTTAATATATTCTGGATCCATAGTATCATATTTAGCTCCAATGATAAGTGTCGGTACTTTAATATGAATTAAATCTTCTGTTCTATTCCAAGTAGATAATTTTCCTGTTATGGACAATTCTGATGGACCTTGTAATAAATAATATATATCATTATTTAAATGTGTAAAAGCACGATTAAATACTTCAGGCCATGGTTGTAAACGACAAAAAAATTTGTTATAAAAATGTGGCATCAATAGTTCCATATACATTGGATTTTGATAATCATTATTTTCTTCTAATTGTTTTATAGTTTTTAATATATCTTTATCAATTTCTTTACATAAAACATTATCTACATATTTTGAATAATGTAAACAACTGCTGATCATGTTACTTATAATTAAACCTTTTAAATTATCTTGATATAATAAAGCATATTCAATAGCTAAAATACCACCCCAACTATGACCATAAAGAATAAAATTTTCTTTATTCAATCCAAGTGATTTTCGAACTTGTTCAACTTCATCAACAAATCTTTCTATTGTCCATAAACTATTATCTTTTGGTTGATCACTTAAATAAGAACCAAGTTGATTATAATAATATATTTCAATACCTTCTTGTGGAAGATAATTTTCGAAGCATTCAAATAACTCATGATTACCACCAGGACCACCATGCAATAATAATAATTTCAGTTTCGAATTCTTACCAATACATTTTGTCCATACATTATATTTACCTATAGGTGTTTCGATTTCAATTTTTCTTTCCATTTATTATCAATTTCAATACTCAATTTATATATATCAAGCACAATTGAAAAATTAAAATCAATATGATTCAACTTTAGTAATAATCACAAATATTGACAAATTTAACTAATTGATATATACTAAAATAGAATAAAACAATATTTTCTCCGAAATTGAAATATTTTCTATTTTTATACGAATTTTTATGTTGATTTATTTTATACGACATTTCAATGCAGTTTAAAGTTTTTATTCGAAATATTTTCATAGTCTGATACTCTTTTATTTCTGCTCCCTTTCGTTAGGATTATTCTCTCATGTTTCTCTCATATAAAAAAAAACAAACAGTGAATATAAGAAGTAAATCATCCATTTTTCTATTTTCTTTTTTTTATATTTTCTTAAACAACAGTAACGACTAAAACTAAATCAAAACCAATTCTTTTATAGATGGTGCTCGTATTCATCGAAGTCGAAAAAAAGTTCAAGAATATTATAAATACTTTACCAATCAAAAAATAATAGCAAAACAATGTTCGTTCTATACAAAAACAAATAGTCCACCATACATAGATTGACCGAGTACAGAGTTATCTAACCTTCCATTCTAGTTTTTATTCTCTTGAGAGTAGATAGACGAGTGGTTATCTACATTCCTGACACAACATTACCCAGATTGAAGTTACCCAGTCGGATTCGATGGAATGCAATTGTCGGTTATCGTTGATAGGATTCAATGACATCTGACACTAGAAACTTATCGAATTCGACAGATTCCGATATTATTCAATTATCTCATTTAGCTTTTTTTAATTATTAGACACAATTTAAAATATATTTACAATACTTTTTAGGACGAAGCAAAGACGTTTCCATAAACACAGGTCGAATATTCACGCTTCTAAACGGTCGTTTACACAGAAAAAAACAGAGATATATGGTTCAACAAACAATAAGTATAAATTATTGATTTGGTTGAACATAATAATAAGTTAAAATAAAGTACAATTCCAGCTGTCAATGTTTAACCAATTCTACAGGAGGAAGGCCGAAGTAGGGGTGAGAAAGTTATTGTTATTCTTTGTTATTAATAACAATAACATTAACTTTTTTATTTAGAAAAATCAATGAAACAAGTCTAAACATAGTTTGCACCAACATCAATGGATTACTTTATTCATATAGTATCTCTTCCTACCATTTGA